TTCCCAGTACCCCTACCAAGTGAAAGAGGTGACCCACATGTGCATTTACAAGTCCAGAAACCTAAAGGTTATAGGATCCTGGTTGCTTTCCTTTTATCCAAACCTCCAGTCTCTATAACCTCCTGGGACCGAGAAATTCAAGGGAGGATGTGATTTCAAGAGCCACACTGGCATGATCTAATGGGCAGACTGCTCTGGAGCCTATCACCCTGTCCTCCCAGGGAATCCAAGGGAAAACAGTTGTTACCAAGTTTCCTGATGAGACAGAGGAGCCAACAGAAGGACAGATGGGCTACCTGATGTCCCCAACACCTGAAAGTCAACTTAGGTGTTGGGTCTCATTTTTTGAAGTTGGAAGGTTAAAGCTAATAGTTTTTGACTGATGAATGCTGGTATCTGATGTTAAACTCCAGCCTAGCTAAACTTTCCAAAAAGGGTCTCTAGATTTTGTCAGGGTTCATCTCCCAACCTTTTTATCCTATGCTACAAATGTCAGGTCCAGGCTTTCTGGAAACGTGTTGAATGAGGGCAGTAGTAAGGATGTTGTCTGCAGAATGGGTACTCAGGGCACCGTTAGGCAATGACACAGTTCCCAAGTCTCATCCCATTCACTGATGACAGACGGCAGGTAAAATCACGCATCTTGTGGTGGTACCATGAATGGAGATTGCATAGCCTGCCACATGCATGCTTTCTGCCCAGAATGAGGTCACTGCTGTTCCCTGTGCCATGGGATTGGGCATAAATATATGACTGCTGCTCTAGCTACTAGTGTTACTTGTGTTATCAGTGTAACCTAATAAAACCATGGAGAAGAGGGAGAGACAAGAAGCCTCAGGACGGATCCCAGGGAGGAAATCTCAGTCCCGGGGCACTGGGCTTGGATGTTTATAGAGGAGGAAAAATGTAAGTTTGATTGGGCTTGCTGCATAAATCTCAGTAGAGATAAAAGAAAATGGATTCAGGGAAGTGAGGGGCACAATCCCCAGATTATTGGGCATCTCTGTGATCACCCACCCCCTGATATGGAAAGGCCAGGAGGTAGATGCCCAAAAGGTGAAAGGCCAAAGAGAGGGAACAGGAATGAGGTGTTCAGACCATCCCTGAGGCCTTTGAAGGGTCCATCACTAAAGCCTTTGTTTAGGTAGGAAAAACCAATGTAGTGAAAATGATCATATTTACAAAACTGTTATACAGATTCAGTGCAACCCCAATCAAAATGCCAATAGCATATCTCACACCCAAATTAGAGAAAATAATTCTAAAATTCATCTGGAATCAGAAGAGACCTCGAATAGCAAAGGCAATCCTGGGCAATAAAGATAAGACAAGGAAAACAAAAAAAAAAAAAAAAAAAAGATAAGACAAGGGACATCAAAATCTCTGACTTGAAATTATACTATAAAGCTACTGTGATAAAAACAGTGTTGTACTGGAAAAAAAACAGACTCAAAGTATCAGTGAAATAGATTAGAAGATGCAGAAACAGCTGCAGACACACTCAACCACCTTATCTTTGACAAACGTGCCAAATACATTCACTGGATGAAAGATAGCCTCTTTAATAAATGGTGCTGGAGGGGGCTGGAGATTTAGCTTAGCGGCATAAGCGCCTGCCTTGCAAGCAGGCAGTCGTGAGTTCAATCCCCGGTACCGATAAAAATCAAAAAGACAAAAAAAAAAAAAGAATCCAAATAAATGGTGCTGGATAAATTGGCTCTGCACACGCTGAAGATTAAAACTGGACCCATCTCTTTCACCATGTACTAAGCTAAAATCAGAATGGATCAAAGATCTTAGTATTAAAACAGAAACATTAAATCTGCTAGAAGATAGAGTAGGTAAAACTCTTTATGACATTGGTTTAGGCAAAGAATTTATGAACAAAACCCCAAATGCACAGAAGTATCACAAAGAATCAACAACTGGGATCTCACCCTACTGAAAAGCTTTTGCACAGCAAGAGAAACCATCAACAGAGTGAAGAGACAGCCCACAACGTGGGAGAAAATGTTTGCCAGCTGTACCTCAGACAAAGGATTACTATCAAGAACATACAAAGAACTCCAGAAAATCAGTCCTCCCAGAGTTAAAGACTGAATCCAAAAATGGACATCTGAGATAAACACACACTTCTCAGATGAAGAAATGCAAACAAATAAATATGTGAAAAAATGTTCAGTATCAATCCTGTATTACTTACATTGTCTTACTATGACTGATCTTAATTGTATCTGAATCATAAAACTATTGGTTGGCCTTGGCTGATTCTACTTGAAATTGGTATGCTTGTTAGTATCAACCCTAAAAGTAGAGGAAACTACTCTGAGCATGACAAGATGTAAAGGATATCCATACTGGTATGAATTAGTAACAGCTCTCAAATCCTACAATGCTGTCAAAGTTAAGTTTTTATAAAAATAGGTGATAGTATGTTTAACTATAATAAGCCATTGTTGGGGACAAATCTATTGAAAATAACAGGAGAAAACATAGTAGCTACGGAAGATCATTTATATTGTAGTCTTATATGTCTTATGCATTGCATGTTTTTCTAGGAAATTGTTTTGCTGTCTTGCTATGACTTGGTTTTCCCTATAATACAGAGAGGATAGATATATAGGTAGAAATTCACACATGGGTTTTTTTTTAATTATTTACAGGAATAGATTATATAATGCAAGATGTAAGGAACAGATACTCTGAGGAAGAGATGCTGAGAAACCCGAGGCTTATTTTGTAGCATTATAATATAAATTCTAGCAATCTATTGTTCGCTGATTAGAATGACATTGGACTGGTTTCTTGAGTTCAACTTCAGCATATGTAGAGATGGGGATGGCTATCACAAAGAGAATGAGAGATGCGATGGTAGTTACTATTGTCTTCCCTAATTTGGAACTTGAGGACCTAAAAAGACTTCATCATCCTGTAATGATTTGATTAGTTCTATAATATGCAATAAGTATATAAAGTGGGTGAAGATAGGGACAACTATTTGTAAGAAGCTAGAGACAGTTAGATAATGAAGATCTCCAGTGGACTTGCTTTGAAATCTGTATTTCTTTAAATTGTTTTTTATTTTTTTAAAAAATGTTCTGTTCTGTTTTGATATGTTTAATCTTACCCTCTTTGAGAAGTAAAACAAATGTGTAGGACTGATAATCATATTACTGAGCTTTTGTTCAATCATAGAGCAGAATGGTTTGTAGGGTCACTTTTTGAATGTCATTCTAAATACTTTAATTCTATAACCTGAACAGCTATTTCGAAGATGACAATGTGTAACTTATCAACCGGCAATTTCTTACCTTTTGTTTGTCTGTAATTTTGTATTATTTCTACCCTTTTTTTAAATCTCCATGTATTTTTTTTGTTTCCTTTTCTTTATATAAAAAAAATGTTCAGTATCACTGATAATTCAAGAGATGCAAATTAAAACAACACTGAGATTCCACCTCACCCCAGAAAAAATGGCTAGTATCAAGAAATCAACCAATAACAAGTGCTGGAAAGGCTGTGGGGAAAAAGGAACCCTTCTCCATTATTGGTGGGAATGCAGACTGGTGCAATCATGGTTTAAATCAGAGTGGAGATTCCTCAAAAAACTAGGACTAGAGGTTCCATTCCACCCAGCTATTCCCCTTCTGGGTATCTTCAGAAAAGAATTAAAAACATCATAGCACAGTGATATATGTGCTCCCATGTTTATAGCAGCACAGTTTGCAATAACCAGATCTTAGAAACAACCTAAATACCTACTGACAGAGGAATGGAAAAAAAAAGATGTATTTTTCTACAATGGAGTACTACTCAGCCATAAGGAATAAACTGGAAACTTCTATAGGTAAATGGATGCAACTTGAGACCATACTCATTAGTGAAATAAATCACACACATATAAACATCATATTGTTTCATTAATGTGGAAAGCTGAAAGAAAAAAACATATGTATATGTATATGTATATGTGTATAAAAATAGTTCTACCAATTTCCTTGAGTTCACTGAAGAGGAAGATTTGTGCTGGTGTTCAGACAACTGAATGCAGATGTCCTGTGCTCTGGGTGAATGATTCGGGGATGACAGTGGGCAGTGTGTGTACCATTGTTGCCCCGTGACGGGTGAAAGGATTTTGCCCTAGATAGGACATTACAGCAGTGGGAGGCCGGTCCAGGGGATGTTTACCTTGAGGTTACTCTCCTTGCCCGTAGGCAACTTAACTGTGCCGCGAAAAGAGACCCCATCAGCTACTCACACATCTGCGATGCCACCTCTGAGCACCACCCCAGTCGGAAATTATATGTATGCCCCCCACACACCATGTTTCCAGCAGAAAAAGCCAGACCCCCAGTGGTCATGGGGTTTCTCTCCGCGTTCTTAAAATAAAGGCCATTTTTACTCTATATTCTCTCTTTTACCATGCCGAAAATCCTATCAAGGTGTTTTGAAATTTTTTTGTATTCTTCTTTTTCTCCCTCTCTTTCCCCTTCCTCCTCCTCCTCCTTTTCCTCCTCCTTCTTCTTTCTTTTCATCCTTGAAATAAAATGGACTTGGAGGGTGAAAGGATTTTGCCCTGAAAGCTGCCCTGGTGGGATGGAGGTTGGAGGGGAAACCCAGGGGCTCTATCTTGAGGTCACCTTCCCCGCCCCTAGACAATTTACCTGTGGGGAAAGGAATTCCAGGGGGCTACCTGTGCATCAGTAATGCCCCTTAGGCTCCACCCCAAACCTAAGCTATATGTATGCCCCACACCACGTGTCCGGCAGAGAGAAAGCCAGACCCGGAGGTCATCGAGTCTCTCTCCTCTCTCTCCGCATTCTTTTTTTTTTTTTTTTTTTTGTCTTTTTCATTTTTATCGGTACCGGGGATCGAACTCACGACCGCCTGCTTGCAAGGCAGGTGCTTATGCCGCTGAGCTAAATCACCAGCCCCTCTCTCCGCATTCTTAAGATAAAGCCCACTTTTATCTCCTATTGCTATCTTTTTAGCCGCGCCGAAAATTCTCTCAGGGAGAAAAAGCCTTTTTTTCTTGCATTCCTGGGTGAATCACACAGTTATGAGCCAGCCCTTTCTTCCTGTTTTTGTTTGCGACAGTGCCTTCCTAGTGGTTCTCAGGGATCCCTGGCTTCCAGCCTGTTTTGGCAAGTAAAAATGAAACCATTCTGGGGACTTTCCAAACCCAGCTTGGAGGAAGATGGCGCTGCCGCTGGGTCTCGGGCCCCTGGATCAGCTGGCGCTCTGTCTGATGCTCCTGTATGGAGCCCCATCGGAAGCCTGGGCTGGTGAGCGTCAGGGCGGACTAGGCGCAGCGGCCCCAGTCTGTGCGCGGGGGCTGCGGTGTGAGCTGCTGGGGCGCGGGGTTGGGTGAGGCCTGGGTAGCCCTGGGGGCCAGCGGGCACAGCGGGGCTTTGGAGGGGAGGGAGGGAGGGAGGGGCGCTGGATGGACGCCAGGGACAGAGCGATGGGGGGCGCGTCCCCGGGGTCGGGGGTGGGGTGGGTCCAACGCAGAAGGCGCGGGCCGTGAGGTGGTTGCTTCTGGGAAAGCCGTGCGCCCGGCTGGGAGTTCAGGAAGGGGCAGTGAGTGACTCCGGCCGGGGTCGGGGTGAGGGTTTGGAGTGACCCCCCTCCTACAGACTCGCGCCAGAGGGACTGTGGAGGGTGTTGTAGGGGGACAACGCAGGGAGGCAGGCATGCCATGGGCCATAAGGGTGCCCGTGGCTTTTCCAATTGTTTAGCATTTGCTTTGTGTTTTGTTTTGTTTGCTAAACAGAATCTCACTAAGTAGTTCAGGCTAGCCGGGACCTGACTGTGTAGCCCAAGCTGGTCTTAAACACAGCGGTGACCCTCCGGCCTCAGCCTTCTGCGTGCAGGGATTACAGGCCCGCGTCACCACGCCTGGCACCTTGTTATAACAGCATGGTCCTGAAGTGTGTGCATTTTACCTGCAAAGCCTGGAAAGCCTGAGCGAGACCGAGTTCTGCTTTCTGGAGCGCTTTTGTTCAACTTTCCAGTCTTCTGCCTGCCCGAGTGGGGAACCTGTCATTTCCGTGTTTTCTTTTTCTTTTTCTTTTCTTTTCTTTTCTGGCCCAAATACATCTTTGTCCTCTCTTCTTCTGCTAGGTCTCTTTAATATCTACGACTTTAATCGCCTCTCCGGGTCTCTCTCACTCCTCTTTGCTCTCACACTGCCCTCTGAGACAAGTCAACACAGAGCAAGGGATTCGAAAACCTGCCGGGGATTTAGCTGACCGGCTCAAGCACCCGCCTGGTTAGTGTGAGGTCTTGAGTTCTCTCCCCAGTACCAAAAATAAAGGTTAATTAAATAAAGGTTGCTGCTGGAAGCTGTGCACCTGACAGTGCCTGTCACCTGTCTCTTCCCCCGCAGGGTTCCACACTCTGCGCTATGACCTTGTTGCCTTGTCTCAAGCTGGGGGGACCCAGTTCCTGGCCCTGGGGTTCTTCGACGGTGTACTCTTCTTGCGCTACGATGGGGAGACCCAGAAAGCCCAGCCCTGGGGCCTCAGGCACAAGGAACAAATAGGAGATATAATAACTTGGGAGCAGGAGACTGAACACCTGCAGGAGAAGGAGCATCAGCTGAGGAGGACACTGGCTGACGTGGTGGTCCAGAAGGGCCATGAAGAGGGTGAGTGGGCTGAGCCCCCTGACCCCAGGTGGGGGTGGGCACGGTAAGGCGGAATCGCTCGAGTTCAGGCTCTCAGAGCAGGGGTTGTACCTTCTGTCCCCATGGGAGCAGAGTTCCAGGGCTGGGGAGGTGACAAACCACTGCCTGGGATGGACCAGGCCTTAACACCCTCCAGGCCACTTTGGGCTGTGAGCTTCAAGGGAATCTCAGCGCCGGAGGCTTCTGGCGGCTGGGCTACCGTGGACAGGATTTCCTCACCTTTGACCCGGCATCCTTCACGTGGACGGCAACGCTGCCCTCAGCCCGGCAGTCCAAACAGTTCTGGGAGGTGCACGGCCCCAGCATGAATCAAGTGAAGAACTTCCTGTATGAGACATGCCCCAAACAACTCCAGAGACATCTGGCTGCCTTGAGGGACATCCTAGTGGATACAGGTACTGACCATGGGCAGGAGGGTCCACTCATGGAGCTGGACAGCTGCCTACATGGAGAACTTTCCTGTTACTTTGTGTGGCTCTCCTGCCATGGCTTTTGTTAGGGATGGGCTTTTCTCGGGATTCTCTGAGGGTGCCACACCCTAAGGTGACCCCCATGGAGTGGGTAAGGGGTGTCCTCTGCAGCTGCCACTCAGTCCCTTACCTGGAAAAGTTGTGTCTGTGTGTGTGTGTGTGTGTGTGTGTGTGTGTGTGTGTGTGTGTGCATTTTCCCAGGTGCGTGCCAGGATCTCAGATCTGAGGCCCACACAGGCAGGTAGGCAAGACTTTTCTCTCACAGCCTCAGTCTTGGGATGTTGGCCTCAAAGAAGGGGAACAACTAGGTTTGAATCCCAGGTGGAGACCCTAAGGTGGGACCACCCTGGCTGGGAGCCAAGAATAGGACAGGCTGTTCCAACCTTCAGCTGTGTCACATATTCAACTCCAAGCTGTCCTCACCCATATCCTGGGACCAAGGTCATTCCACTCTGCTTTGGCCTTGAAAGGTCAGATCTTGTGATAGACTATGAAACTGTAGGCCCAGCATGTCACACATGCCTCTAATTCCAGCCCTCTGGGAGGCTGGGACAAGAGAATCATGAGTCCAAATCCAGTCTGGGCAATTTAGTGTCTGAGACCCTGACTCAAAGAAAAAAAGATGGGGAAAGAAGCAGGATGTAGTCCAGTGTGAAGGCCCTCGGCAGTAGCAGTAGCAGTGCCTGCCCAAAAGATATCTGTGTGGGGGAAACTGGTGAGTGAGCTGAGAGAGGCAGGAGGAAGCCGCTGGTCATTAGCCAGGAGTCCCCAACAGGAAGCCAGCTCAGGGTCAGAGAAGCAAGGCCACTGTCAGCTGACCATTCTCAAAGACAGTTCCTCATTACACCCTGGGACACACCGAAGTGCCTTGGTCATGGAAAAAAGATTATGCCACACTCAGGCCACTGCTAGCCCCTGTAGACCAGGCCCCGTGTCCCACCAGCACCTACAGGCTCAGCAACACCATGTGACAGCACATTCACGGGACAGTGAGGGTGTGGACCTGCTGGCCCCTGAGACTTCATGTCATCCCAGGCTTTCTAATCAGACAAGGGCCCTCCACCCATGAGGTTCAGGAGCCATGGAAGCTGTACATCAGCCAGCCACAGTCCTCTCACCACTGGGGACATGGCCTTCAGGCTGGGTGGCCAGTGGCGAGTGTGGTTATTTGGTCCCCATGCTCTGTGTCTCGTGGTGCCAGGACGGAGACTTCCTCAGGCTCACTGTGCTCCACTTCCTCTTCCTCTAGGTTCCCCGTCGGTGATTGTGACCCACAGTAAGAGGTCAATGGGCAGGGTGACCTTAAAATGCTCAGCTTTTAATGTGAATCGTTGGGGTGCCACACTGACCTGGCTTTGTGATGGGGACCCCATGCACCAGGGCATCTTCGGGCCTGGGACCATCCTGCCCAGTGGCGATGGGACCTACCAGACCTGGGTGACCACTCATGTCCTTCCTGGAGAGGAGCATAGGTTTATCTGCCACCTGAGACAGCAAGGGAAAAACACCACAGACCCTGTCACCTCAGGTGAGAAACCGGGGAAGTCCTCATCACTGGGGAGCTGGAGGCAAGGTGAGGGTGGGCCCGTGGGGTGCACTCACCACGCATTCCTGGTGGCCTCCAGGATACCTACCCAGGAGGAATTCTGGAGCTGCTGCCAGGGCTTCTTCTCAGGCTGCTGTCATGCTGTGCGCTTTGATGGTTTTGGTCACTGATTCCTAGAGAACCAAGGACACGGGGTCGGGGAAGAACCCAGGTGAGGACTTGGTGGACCATGAGAAGGGGTTGGAACTGCTCTTCTACCTGCGATGAGTGGAGACACCACTCTTCTTTCTTCTTTCCCTCCAGGAATAGGATGAGGGGAAGAGCTCACTCCTGCTTTCCGCATCTGTCACACCCGGGAGGATTCCATGGAGCCAGGCTGGAGAATAAGACCTTGGGCTGAGAGAGTTGGAGAGGACAGGGGCAGGAAAAGTATGAAATATTCATATTGCCTGTCACATGAGACCAACACTGTGGAGTTCTCAATCAGCTGAAGTGTTTCTTTATAGAAATAATTGAAACAATGCCAGCAGAAAGGCACACAACACCAGCACCACTTTGCCACCTAGCGAACAAGTCTGAAGCCCTTAGCACACTTAGTTTCCAACGTTGCTGCCATCAGACACTGGATGTTTGGCACACCCTGGTGGAAAGAAGAATGCTACTCATGCAGTGGTGTTGGAAAGGCTTTTGGTAAAGGTAAGAATCAGAAAATCTGGTTCGGCTCCATTAAAGAGCGAATGCCAGGCAAAGTCACAATTGGGAAAGCTGTAAGACAGTGACCCCGTCTCTTCACCAATATCAAGTGAACAGAGCACCAGCAAGATAAATACAGAACAGAAGAACAGTTTCTTTCAAGCAATCTTGCCAGCTTTCAATGGAGTTTTTAATTTCCTGGCTGTCTCTTTGCATCTGTTTCATGTATTCTAGGTCTTTTTTGTATTTCTTATTCAAGGTCCCTCCCATTTATCTTTTGAAACTTGCCCCCCATTATGACGATGCCAAGGTGAGGCAGTTAGGAGCTGATTAGATCATGGGAGCAGAGCCCCAGAGAGCTGCCATGGCCTTCCACCAGGGAGGACACAGCCTGAAGGTGCCATCTAGGAACCAGAAGACAGGCCATCACTAGACAGTGGGTCTGCCTGCACCTTGACGTTGGGCTTCCTACCCTCCAGAACTGTGAGGAATACATTTCTGTCATTTATAAGTCACCTAGTTTATAGTATTTTGTTATAGCAGCACAAGGATACCCAAATCTACATATGTTCAAATCTCTTATGTTAAAGAGATTTGCATATAACCCATAGACTTCCTCCCTTTAAATTATATCTAGGTGGGCTGGGAATTTAGTTCAGTAGCATAAGTGTCTGCTTTTCAAGTGCATGGTTGTGAGTTCGATCCTCGGTACTGATTAAAAACAAATAATAAAATTATAACTAGGTGACTTGGACTTCCGGGAGAACATGGTGAACAGATAGCAGCAGCTACGGAGGCTCTCTGAAAGACCCAGCTTAGAATTCAGGAATGGTGCAGAGTGAGGAATCCTAAGCAAGAGGAGTTATGCCCCGCTGACCCAAGAACAAACTAGGCTGAGAGAAACCAACTGGAAATGCAATCCTGGTGCTATAAAAGGAACAGAAAAGCCTCAGTGTGGAAGGTGGAGGCTACACCTTTGGAAGGTGCAAGTTGGGCTTCCCGCCGCTGCTGCGTCTACATCGGCTCGGCAGGGAGAGAGACGCGCAAAAGCTCTGAGAACGGGAATTGGTGAACGGAGTTGAAAGGACAGGCAGGGAGCTGTGCATTGACTTGTGGTGAGTGAGAGAAACTGGGACTCTTCCACCGTCTAGGAGACTCCAACAAAGGACATTCTGGGACCGGGCAGACTTGTGGGAATAAGGTGCTACAGTGACTTCAGCCACGTATCCCCCTCTCAAGCGGGATTGGTGAGCAGTGCCTAGCCTACATGATGCTGCTGGCTGAGACCCAGTAGGCTAGCACAACCCAGGTCCCAGCGCCTGAAGGTAGATTGACCTGGAGGGGCGGGCCCTGCATAAGCTGCTTGGTCTGCAACTTCCTGGTGCACTGCGGTGGGAGGGAACACCCAGCTGGCGCAATTCAATCAGACTGTGGCTGACAAGGAAGGAAGCTGGGCCTCCTATATACACTTGCATATATAAGGAACAAAGAATATGGGAAGACGCAGCAACAAGAAAGGGTCCTCGGCCCCCAATCCTGAGAAAGAGGCAATAGCAGACACAGCATCAATAGATATAAAGTGCTATCTCCAGAGCCTCATAGACAAGTTCAGGAATGAAGTTATTAATGACCTGCAGCTAGACATAAGCAGAATAGTTACAGAAGTGCTAAGCACCACCCAAGAAAAAACAGATGGTGGGATGGAAGAACAGAAAAAGAGGGGAGAATTGTTTAATGGAGAAAATAGAGAAAGCATAGAATATGTGAAGCAGGTTCAAAAATAACTAGGTGACTTATAATTCCTAGTGTAATGTAAATAGTTGTTATATTTTATTGATGCAAGAATAATTAATACAGATGTGTTATTTTCGTCAAGTTGATTTTGATTTGTAGTTGGTTGAATACTTGAATGCAGAAGTGATGGATACACAGAGCTGACTGTTCTGCTTAAAGAAGAGACAAAACCCAAGGAAACCAAAGGAGTCTAGCAACAACCCTGCACATTTACTTTTACCCTATTAATAATGCAGTCACCTCTGCAGTGCAGTTGGGAAAAATGAGGTTTTCAGTAAATAATGCTGGATCATTTGGATTCTCCTGCCTCAGCTTCCTGAGTGCTGGGATTATGGGTATGTACACCATGTCCAATAGAATTATGATCATGATATTATCATTATTGTGAGATTAAATGTGATTTAAAAGATGCACTGATGTGGGGTTGACAAGGGGTGAATTATTACCATTAGTGATTATCAACTTGATTGGATCAACAGAAGCCTAGAAAGGTAGTAAAGGATACTGCGGGTATGTCTGGGTGATTATAGGAGTGTGACCTTGGAGACTATCTGCCCCCTGGCCTGTTCTTCTCTGGTGCTGTTACCCTGCCTTCCTTTTGACCGCCACGAGGTGAGTAGTTTTGCTCCATCGTGCCTTTCTGTCCTGCCTTGGAGCCAGCTGGCCATGGACCAAACCTTCTGAAACTGAGACCCAAATTAAATCTCTCTTCCTTTAAACTGTAGGTGTCAGGTATTTTGTCCGGCAACAGGAAAGGTGACTAATATATTTCTTAATCTGCCTTGTTTTTGGTGATTTAATTCCTGTTCAAGGACTGTTCTACCTTGTGTTGGTTTCTTATTTAAAAAATAAAGATTCTAAAATAGTGGATCCAGCACCAAAAGATGATATCCCCAGCTCTCCCAGACTTCACATAACACATGTCTGAAATAGTTAAATAGCTTAGTGAATGGAGCACCTCTGGCTGTGAGGCATTAGCCTCAGAATGCTGTAGAGGCTGGATGAGGAAGACCCCTCTTTAAGTTGGATTCCTCATCAACACACAATTCATGGCAAAACTTAATGGTGCTTTCCATTATCCCAATTAATAAAACTTGGATCCTCTAGCTTGAATTCAGACACCTTCACGGTGCATATAAAGAGCTCATATGTGATGATCAAATGTTAATCAGTCACCAGCCCATTGCTAACTAGGAAGTCAGTTGGACAATTCTCACCATCTGTCACCTTAGAGGAAGTGGACTTGGGACAGTGTGACCCGTGTATGGATGATGACTGGCAAATGCTATTGTACTCCTTGGAGGAGAAACCCACATCCCAGAAAGAATCAAAAGATTCAGTATCTGGTAATTTGGGTGACATGGACAGTGTTAGCAACTATGATCATGATGGAGAAAGAAAATACATCATCAGAAGCCTGATTGTTAGGTAATTGTTTAGATAGAAGTTGAAATTGTTGTTGTACCCCATAAAGGCCCTGAGATGAAGAACAGGGCAAAACAACATCTTTTTTAAAAAAAGAAACGCTTTTATTTTAGCTGGCATCACCAGTGGAATTTGCAAAGCTGTGCAACTGAGTCAGAATTTGGACAGATTTTTATAGTGCATTAACCGTGACAGAGCAGGAATTAGGAAGGCCTTTGTTTTCCTTTGCTTGAGGTCAGAGACTGTTTCGCAGTTGGTGGTTAGTCCCCCTCTTTTTCCCCCTTAAATTATAGCCCTTGGTCTGCTAATTCCAGGAACATTTGTTTCTCACAAAGTGAACAAAGGTTGACACAGCATCATTTGTCTCACAAAGAGAACAATGGTTGACACAGCAAACAGGTTACTAAGGTGATGACGCATACAGAACAGTATGGCGATGCCTCAGTTAGTTTATAACTAATTTATAACAATGTGGTCAGCGCTCCAGGTACATGGTTACTAGGGCGATAAACATACAGCGCATAACAATTCTATGTTCCCTACAGCAACATCATTAGCGTGACCTGTCACAGCTAGTGACAATGCTCTTGCAACCCTGAGTGGTAGAGGGAAGCATTATTCTCTCTTTCACATTTTTAATCAGTATATGTTTACAATATGTTTCCATTTGTTTTCACCCTCCCCATACTCTTTTTTTCTCTTGCTGCTTTTGCTGCCTTCTCCCACTTTGAAGTGTTGTCCCTGTGCCACGCCACCCTGCTTTGGGACCAGCTGACTAGGGACTGAAACCTCCACAAACTGTGAGCTAAATAAACATTTCCTTAGTTATGGTGCCAGGTATTTTGTCTTAGCAATGAGAAAAAAAGTAACCTAAACCGACCCCGAAGGCTCACAGAGGGAGGGATTTTGTTTGTTTGTTTGTTTTGTTGTACCAGGGATCAAACTCATGACCTTGTGCTTGCCAGGCAGGCGCTTATGCCACCGAGCTAAATCCCCAGCCCCTTGGGATGCAAGAAGCAGAGTACTGGGCTGCACTAGATGTGACGCTGGTTCAGTGGCCATTAATTCTCTTAGAGTTTATTTGCCTCACTTTTTATTGCTTCATCTATTTTGAATGATTTTTTTGCATAATTGTTGGGAGCCGCAGCCCCGAGCCCGGTCGCCTCACTTGGCGGACGTGAGGCCTGTAGTAAAGAGTAAAGCCTGAGGTAGATTACCCCTCCCATCGAGCACGTTAGTTTCCTGCTTACCGCGTAAGCAACCCGCTCAACAATATAGTCTGCCTGGCAACTGATGATGTTAGCCAATCAGCTTGCCTTGCTTACTTTAACATGATTGGACACTGTATCCGTATATATACTGGTGCCACCCCTGGGGGGGAAGAAGAAGCCCGGAAGTAGAAGCCCAAAAGGAGCCGCGGGGAGCGGACCAAAGGAGGCTTCGGCTGGGAGCGATCCCAGGGCAGGCTGTACGGAGAAGGAAAATAAAAGAAAAGGTTGTCCACTGCCAGACTTTGTCGTGTGTCCTTCCTGCCGGCCGGGAGCGACATCGACATTTGGAGGCCCGCACGGGGACTGATCACCCCCGAGACGTGACAGCGGACAACGCTCCAGTACAGAGCTGCGAGACAGGTGAGTTGGGGATAAGCCTGGGCTCTGGGTGGCGCGCACCTACAGGGCTTTTAGACTCCCCTCAGGCTCACGCGTAAGTGGCGGATTCCTTGGGCCTCACGCGGTGAGTAACATATTAAAAGATGGGAAACATGCTAGGTAGCAACACTAAGAGCGAGGGTGGTTGTGGAGAAAGCTCTCAAGAGCTTACAAAAGTACGCAAGGTATTTGAGCAGGCCCAGTCAGGGAGCTCCTGAGAGGGGCCCGTCAAGGGGAACAAAGATGCTAAGGAGAAGGACGGGGCTCTAGCCTCGGAGTCGTCTGACTCCGAGGACGAGGGAAAGTTGAATGGCAAGGAGGCCAAAGAGACCAGCTGTCAGGAGCCTAAGTCGCTCGATAAGGAGTCGCAGGGTTCTTTCCCAGCGTTGCGCCGCGAATTGCGCTCCGCTCAACTTGGTCTGCGGAGGAGTAGAGAGCTCCTGAGCGCTCCCCGGCGCGAGAGGGAGGCGAAGCCTTCCGCCCCACCTTGGGGGCTGTTCCCGGAGGCGATCCCTCGCCGCGAGGCGGCCGCCCGGGAGCTCCCTTCCCCTTCGCCAGAACAGGAAGTGATGCACGGGCCCCCATTTTCCGCCCAATCATGGCCGCCGTCTTATGCTCCGCCGCCGGCGGGTCGGTATTTTTACAGGCGGCTATGGCAGGGGGGACGTTTGTCTCATGAGGTACATCCACCACCTGGGATAGATAGTGGCCCCTACGGGATATTTCCTGTACAAGTAGCTATGGGCCAGGGACGTAATGCATGGGAGCCTTTTGAGATAAAGCAGATTAGAGAACTTAAAAATGCAGTTACAACCTTTGGGCCGACTGCGCCTTACACCATTGCCATGCTGGAGAACCTGTCTTCTGGGCCCCTCACCCCCGCGGACTGGATTCAGCTGGCAAAGGCGTGTCTGCCCTCGTGTAGTTACCTGGATTGGCGAGCCTGGTACGCAGAGTTCTCTGCAGAGCAGGCTGAGAGAAATGCCAGTCGGGGAAACCGGGGGTGGAACAAGGAAATGCTTATGGGAGAAGGTCGGCACGCTGATGATCAGACTCAGTTCCCCGGCGCTGTCTATGAACAAATCAATGCCATAGGGCTCCGCGCCTGGAAGCAGGTAAGTGGTGCCGGAACAGCCTCCTTGTGTCTTTCAAAAATAATTCAGGGTACCACAGAGCCATTTGTTGACTTTGTGGCCCGAATGCAAGATGCTGCCGATAAGATATTTTCTGATCCGGGAGTGGCTCGACCGCTGGTAAGGCAGCTGATTTTTGAGCAATGTACAAAGGAGTGCAAGGCAGCGATAGCTCCTCATAAGAACAAGGACCTCAACGCCTGGATTAGGATATGCAGAGAGATAGGGGGGCCGCTCTCCAACTCGGGAGTGGCTGCTCTCCTGGCCGCGGCTGTACAGCAGAGGGGACCTCGCGGGTTAGAAGGGGAATGTAAGGCTAAAGGGTGTTTTGCCTGCGGGGAGCCAGGACACATTAAACGTCATTGCCCAAACAATGCAGATGCTAGGCCTCGCCCTAGGAATGAAGAACCATATGTTTGTGGGCGATGCAAGAGGGGATCACACAAAGCTGAGGAGTGTAGGTCGGTCTTTGATGCTCAGGGCAACCGTATTTGTGGACGAGATGCTAGAGAGCCAAAAAACGGCCAGAGGGGGCCCCCTTCACAGGCGGGCCCCTGCCCCAGAGACAGGACAGCTCAGGATGGCAGCCTTCAACAAGGGCCACCCCTGGGTCAGCAGGTGTGGACCTCAGTGTCGCCTCCAGACTTATATTAGTGCCTGATATGGGTGTTCAAGTGGTTGAAACCACCTTTAAGGGACCATTACCCGAAAATTCCGTGGGTCTGGTGATCGGGAGATCCTCCACGGCCCTTCGGGGTCTCATAGTAGTCCCGGGGGTCATAGACTCAGACTACACAGGACACATTAAAATTATGGTTCAATCTCTTGTGGGTACTATGGTAATCAATAAAGGAGACAAGATAGCGCAGCTCTTGCTGCTCCCCAGTCTCCACAAGAGATTCCCCTCAAAGCAGAAAATTAGAGAAAGTCAAGGTTTCGGTTCCTCAGGGGAAGTCTTCGAGGGACTCCATATAATACTTGATAAAAGGCCCATGCTCTCACTTAAGGTCAATGGCAAGAATATAACAGGGCTCCTAGACACAGGAGCTGACCGTTCCATTATCTCTAGAAAGGATTGGCCCTCCAACTGGCCCACCAACACTGCAGATAACACGCTGCAGGGCCTGGGGATGGTGTCAGCTCCTCAGGTTAGTGCTTCAACCCTGCTCTGGTGTGATGAGGAGGGTCATCAGGGCCATTTCCAACCATT